AAATATCCTGATGAAAACTTTCTTAAATTTCTGTGTTCATAGCTTTTTCTTAGTGTAGGAATTTTGGCGTAAATCAAAATATAAATGCCAAAGTAGAAATTATGCTTTTTATGCAACTACAAAACCAGAGACACAAAACCCACACTGAGATCCAGGTAGTAGTAGGTAATCCCTTGTTTCAAATTCAACCTACATCATTCTCATACCTACTATGTGAATTAGTACTTTATTACCACTTGAAGGCAGTGTGGTCTTCTTTATAGTAAAGTGTTCTGGACAATTTTGAAGTGCCACCAGATCCCATTTAAAAATATGTCCTAAAAAGGGAGAAGAACCAGCAGTAAATCTAGAAACTAACTGTGGCTCATGGAAGTCTAGTACCCTGTGATTCCTGACTACCAAATCCTGGTTGGTGGTACTGGACATACATGCATCGCTAACAAATCAGAAGGTGCCGGAATGCACCTTTTCAGATTTTTTTGTTCCTTACTCTATTTTGCTGCCCCGTAAACAAGGTAACAATAATAATAGCCACTCCTGCACTGCCACCTGCCAACACAGCTTGTACTCTTGAGAAGTTCTGATGTACAGAATTATTACAACTGTATCCTTGCATCATTATTATGGAGGAGGAGACTCTTGTCCTCCTAGCTGGGTGCAGGACTCTCACCATCATCCACAGGGTCGCGGAAGGAGCCCGAGCGGATCATGCCCTTGGGTCGGTCTGCCAAGGAGAGGGTGCTGCCCATGGGGGAGGCGTTGTAGAGCTCGAAGGTGGAGTCATGAGTGGGAATGCTGTTAGAACGGGTGATCCTTGGGGTGTTGGCTGCCGTGGGACTCACTGCAGGAGAAGGGGGCAGGGAGAAGAGGCGAGTCAGAGCAGCTCAAAGCTAGGGATGGGGTCTAGGAAGCAAGGAGCACTATATATGGGGCTAGCAGCCAGGATCCAGATGGGGAAAGATAAGGACAAGTAAATGTGCATCACACCTTGCATAAGATCCTTTATCTGCACCTGTGTAGCTGCATCAGTTTTACTAGTTTGACTTGGATTGTTATGGTGACTTGGGAGAATATTTGACTCTCTTTCTCATGCCTGTGTAAATGTGAAATAATTTTCATGACTCAAGCCCATCTACAGATAGTACAGACTACTCAGTACCTGTTAATCCCTTCCCATTTAAAAGATAAGATAAAAGAGCAAATTTATTCTATCAACGGTAAAATTGGAAAGATAAAAAGGCACAAGAATAAATTGTATGTTTATGTTAAACTGGAAAGACAAAGAAGATGCAACAATAAATAATATATGTACAAAAGAACCCAAGCCTATTATGTAGAATATTGCATTATCGTTCTTTAAATCTTATTCCGTTTAACCCTAATTGGAGAATTGCCTTTGCTCAAATTTCTCAGGGGACTGATTGCTTTTCAGTGCACATATGTAGTAAGACAGACTTGTACTTAAACTGCCTATTTAATTTTATTTTCATGTTTACCTCTGATGAAAAAGACCTGTCCTTTTCATTTTTATGTTTTTCCTTTATTCAACCCCCCGACCCCCACTCCCGGAAAGATCAGGCAGAATCCTGAAAATCAGATGCTTAAAACAACACCAAAGAATTCTACTTGTGAAGCAAGAAAGCTGTGTAAGATTCTGGGCTCCCAGATTAAGCCTGGGAAAGCCCCCCATACTGACTAAGCAAACCTGAAAGCAAGCCCAGTTATTACATATTCTTAGCTGCTCATGGACTACTGAAAGCGTGATCTATAATCTATAATAGAGAGCCAGTGGAGTTTAGCGGTTAAGGTACCAGGCTGGAAACTGGGAGGCTGTGAGTTCTAGTCCTGCCTTAGGCATGAAGCCAACTGGGTTACTTCGGGCCAGTCACTCCCTCTCAGCCCCAGGAAGGAGGCAATGGCAAACCACTTCCGAAAAACCTTTCCAAGGAAGTTGCAGGGACTTGTCCAGGCAGTCACCAGGAGTCAACACTGACTTGAAGTCACTATATAATATATAATATATATAGGCAAGCTATTGACAACTGAGATTCTGTCACCCCTAAAATCTATGGATAATTAGAATGAAGCATTCTGCATTATGTTAGAGACCAAAGGAGGGTCTCTGCTTCTTTCTTCTTCTTTTAAACAAAGCTAGTGGCTTTGGCAAAGCAGAAAGAAGGCATACATTTCCCAGAATGCTTCTTGGAATAATGTTAGCTAGCCAATGATTCTTAGGCTGTTAGGTTAAAAGGAGAGGGGGAAGCTCCTATAAACTTCCTGCCCTCAAAATCAGGTTGGGATCAAACTGTAGTCTCCAAAAAAAAAAAAAAAAACTCCAATTTTCTGCCTGCCAATATAGAAGCAAATTGAGGATATTTTTTTAGTACTGAGCAAGCAGCAATTTTCATGGAAACTGCTGCTGCTGGTGGAATAGGTTGATAAGGCAGATATAAAAGATGTCTGGCTTAAATTTAGTTTAATCAGATGGGGGAGCTTTCATGAGCCTGCTTCAAAAAATGCAGAGTTCTACTTCCAAAATGTCAAAGTTTCCTGTGGGCTACAGCTTCTGAGCTAACTCCTGAGGGCTAGTTACAATTCCTTACAGCCTGTCAGGCTGCAATCTGTAAGGCTTTAATCGTGTTCTCTGGATTGCATTTGGTGCTCAGAGCCTCAAAGAAAAGTAGATGTAACATTTGTTTTGCTGCTTACTGAAACTTCTTCCTCACCTAACATTCTCATTCTGATACAAACACACAAACATACAATTTTTTTGTTTAATCTAGACTAAATTACTAACACAGGTAGTCCTTGCTTAACGATGATAATTGGGACCAGCAACTCAGTTGCTAAGCAACATGGTTGTAAAGCACAACATCACGTAATAGCACTGACTTATGACAGCAGTTGCGGTAGTTCCTGTTGCCATTGTTAAGCAAATCCCACACAGTTGTTAGGGGTGACATCACATGATTGCCATTTGTGACCTCCTGCTGGCTTCCCCACTGACTTTGCTTGTCAGAAGCCAGCAGTGAAGGTCACAAATGGCGATCACGTGACCACAGGATGCTGCAACCGTCATAATTCCAAGCAGGTTGCCAAGTGCCTGAATTGACCACAGGGATGCTGCGACAGCTGCAACTATGAGGACCATTTGTAAGTCTCTTCGTTCAGCGCCATTGTAACTTCGAATGGTTGCTGAATGAGTGGTCATTAAATGAGGACTGTATATTTTTTTAGCATTTTATTATTGCTGCTTTCCCCCCTTATTTGTAAATTTACTACTGCAAATGAGGTCATTCTTGGTCACGAAAGATTCAGGGTTGACCATGTTTTTTGGGGGTACATTGCTATTTTTTCTGGAAATTAAAAGCTGAGCTCAGGCATGTTCAATAACCCATGTAGCAACCTGGCTTTGGGAAATTACAGAAAAATGACACTTCCCTTCCATCAGGAACACAGAAGGAAGGAGTCATGGGAGTCCCCATGTGATGTTTCACTTTAATAATTTTTTCATCCAGTTTCTACAGACTATTCAAACGATCTCCAAAATATCTTGCAACCTGCTTCTCTGATAAGAGGCTAATCTTGGATTCTGGGTAAGTCAATAGTGCTAGAAAGAAGAAAATTAAGGAATAGAATTTGAAAATAAAAGTGGCATAGCTTCTGTTGGATTATACTGATTTAGAACAACTGACCTCTAGGGTTTCCTTTTGTAAGAAGGCAAAAAGAAAGGCGACTAACCAATATTTGTGAGTGGAGCTTTCCCAACCAATGGCATGGAGATAGCAGGAGGAGAGGGCAGTTCAGATGCATCATCCGATTCCTGCATTCCTCCAATTGTGTGTGAGTGTCGCCTCTCCTTGGTCTCTTCCTGGGGCTGGATTTGATACCTGCCAAAACCAAGGGATAGAGAGGGACTTAATGACAGAGATTGGCAGCATTTTGAAAGGAAGTAAGTGCCATAATGATGCAGTTTAACATAGTTAATTTAGCCAGTACCTATTGCATTAAGTAGGGATATTAAGATAATTTTACAATTCTCTGCTTGCAATTAAAATCAGATAGTTACTGCTCTACCTCTCCGTGGGATTCTTGAAATGCAACGATGTAATTTTTATATTCAAAGAAATCAGTTTAAAAGAATAGACTGTAGTCTGACATTTTAAAATATCACTGACTACAATTGCTCAGGGAGCACCTAATAATTAGGTCCTAATTCTAGAGTGATGCGAAGGAGGCATGGCTCACTGGAAGATAATAATCTATTTGGTGCTTTCTTATGGATGCTGGATATGTCATCATCATTATCCAAGACATCATTCTCAAAGGAAATAAATGAAAAGAGATAAACCAAGACTACAGTTATAATACTTAGCAGTGCAATTTTGTGGAAGCCAGTAGCAAAGGACTGGATTGCAGTGCATGCAATCATTCTAGTTATATTTGAATTCTACAACAGCTAGAAGTTCTCTAGGCTCTGCATTGTATTTTATATTGGTATGCACTTGTAAATTCAGGTTTTAACTTTTAAAAAAGAAGCCTTATTCACTTTTAAAAATATATTTTAAAAAAACTATTTCAATAAAGCAATTACATTTCTATTGTAGCTTTCAGAAGAGTAACAAAGACATTGGGTCAGAGAAATAATCAGAATGGATCCACTGAAATCAATGGGGCTTGTTAATCATGGCTAAATTGATTTCAATGAATCCATTCTGACAACTTGATGTAATCTATATTGGAATTACAGTTGGAATTGCTGTATCAGATATAATCAAGAACAGAGTCAAGAAGTCAGGGTTATAACCAGACCTCTAGTATCACATAATTTGAACAGAAGGAGGGTGGACTATAATTATAAATTACCTTCATGAATTGATTTGCTATGGGCCTCTGACTTTGCAAAGCCGTAGAATCTCAGGTTTGCTGTTTAAGTAATGACCATACAACAGGCTCATAATTATACAGCACTGGCTTGTGAGAAACACAAGCTTTCTTTGTTTGATCATCTCTCACTATCATAAGAACAGGAAGTTGGACATTTCCAACCCATCACTGATAATATTGGATAATAGATTTATTGGATCACCATATGATATTAACTGGAACACAAAGGACAATTACCTCAGTCCCTTCTTGGGTAACGTATTCCGGTCACGGTTAGAGCTGCAGGAAGAGAAATGAACAGCAGTGCTTGTTAATTATTTGCTTGAGTCCAGCTGTGGTTCCTGATAAGCAATAAGCTGATTGTGAAATTTTGGGAATAGAGATCCAATCTGGCTTAACACAGAAACCCAGAGTCTGTATTTGCACTATTTGTGCCACTGCAATTTTGCCATGTATACAAACAAAAGAATCATAAGCTAAAAACTATGGTGGATTTTAAAGGAGCTTCTCCTGCACTGGAATGCTATCATCCTTTTCTATCTCTCCATCTTTCTTCTTATTTAGATTAAAGGTAAAAACTCGTATGAGTTGAATTTGATGTCTGGTGACATGCGCACATCTAGCACATCTTTGTAGTTTGTTTGGCAACACAGAAGTGATTTGCACTTGTGATTTCTTCCAGGACATTTTTTTGACTTTCCAGTGTGGGTTAAAGCCCTGGAATTTGTTGGTAGCTTCTCATCCAAGTACTAACTAGGTCTGATCCTGCTTAGCTTTTTCAAGATCAGCCAAGGTTGGCTAGGTGGTGCCACCTGCTTATGATCTTATGTTATGAGAATATAATTGCAGCAATGTAACTGGACATGGTATCATAAAGATACCTCTTTCTAAAAGCTCTTATGGAACACTACCATGAAAAATATTCTACCCATAGGAAAGCTGCCCCATTTCCCTTCCTCTACCTTTCCAGATGTGTGATTCTTGGACTCCCAGTCCAGGCCATCTCACTGGATTCTTCCTCAGCAGCAACAGGAGGCGTAGAGGCAGTGGGAGGTGCAGTAGTGCTGCCTACAGAAAAGGCATTGTGCAGGTTCATAGGCATCTGTAAGGATTCCATGCTCCTGTGCAACCCTGAAAGCTTGGAGTACATGCGGGTTTCCTTGGGGATGCTGAACCCCCCCATGAGCTCCAGGCCCTGGGAGAAGCTAGCAGAGTTAATGTTAAGGACTGGAGCAGGGCTTGGTGTGAAGCATGATGTGAGATGGGTGCCCACATTTACAGTAGCTGGGTGTGACTCTTGCAGTTTGCCACTATGCAACTGATGGAGATCATTTGAAGAAGGGAGGTCTAGACTGTTAGAATTCACCTTGTCCAAGTTTGCCAAAGAAGGAGCTTTTACATAGCTTTTGGCAGCTGACCTGCAAGAGAGGAGAACAGTATTAAGACAAAGCTGTGGGCATAGTGTGGGACACTACATGCTTTGATCACATCATGTATTGTGAAAACATTATATCTAGCACAAGTACATTTAAAAATCTGCATACGTTGTTGAGAATAACAACTTTAAGCTACATCTATATGTGTATAAGAAGAAAATGCACCAGATTCACTACAGACAGTGCCCCTACTTGTGAACTTTTGTGTTGCAAACTTTCACTGATACGAACAAGAAGGACCCGGAAGTCAGAACCGGAAGTCAGGAGAAGGAGGGAAAGGGTTAGTCTGCAGCATGCTCCATTGCTGGATGAGGCAGGAGAGGGTGCAGTGGGAGAGGACAGGGGAGATGGGGCGGAGGTCTCCTGCCTTGCCTGGCAACACAGCGTGCCATACCCCACTAGCTCATCCTTCGCTCTCCTCCCCTCCATTACCACCCCCTCTCCTGCCTTACCTGGTAATGCATTGGCAGCAGAAATAGGGCTCCTCTGCCCATACCGCTATCCTGCCTCCTGCCTCCTCTTTTTTTTTACTTTTTACTTGGTTGGACTTATGAACAAAATGGACTTATGAACAGCCTCTTGGAACGTAACCTGTTCGTAAGTAGGGGACTATCTGTATCCTGTTGAATTGGGAGTGTCAGGATCATAGCACATTTCTGTAACTGAAGAATGTTTCTTTTCAGGAGATATTCCCATTGCCCCAAGTCATCCCAATGCAATGAGGACTCAAATCAGATATTGAGTAAGGCTTTGTTTTATTTAACTGTTCACACTGAAGAATTCAAACTATTAGGCTCTTTGGTTCTTAACATATAGTCACAGGAAGACCACAGAAATCTGCCTTTTCAGTCAGGTCATTGGTTCCTCTAACTTAATACTGTTAACACTAATTGGCAAAAGCTTCCCAGAGTTTCAGACAGGAATGTATTCCACTTCCTTAAGGATTTTGAGAGATTAATTGAGTTTGATTTACCTACAATATTTCCCTGGCAATATATACAAATGAAATATACACTAATTAGTAGTATGGCCAAGATGCTCTAGCAGCCTCCAAGCTACCTGCAATTTCAGCTTCCTTAAAAGATGCAGCGCTTGAACAGAAAACAGTTTTACAAAGTATTAAAAAGTGAAATGAAAGACAGAATTAGTTGTGGAGTCCTTGGTGTTCTCAGAGCTTGGTGGTTTGATTTCAGATGGACTCCACAGTTCAACCCTGAGCTACATATATTCTCTTCTATTGGTACAGAATTAGTTATATATTTGAACTATGTAATGAAGAAATGGAATGTCCTATTTTGGAGAATCAATGGGTCCAGCTCTTAAAAAATGTGACATATAATTTAAAAATGAAATTAATTCATCAGAAAAAAATATTTCATGTTTATTAGACCTCTCAGAAATGCTTCAAAATATCAGATTTTTTAATGTTGGATGTAAGAAATATTTAATCTTGTTTCTTTGTTCGTGATAAAGGATTTTTTTTAAATTTCACAATTTTAAAAAATACTTTTTTTAAAAGTATTCCATAGCCATCATACTACTCACTCATATTCAGCTTGTAATCAACTAGAATTCCAAGATCCTTTTTATATTTACCAAGCTAGGTATTCTCTCTATATATGTGCATTTGATTTGTTTTTCATAAATGAAAAACATCACCATTATATTTCATTGTGTTATTTTTAGTCCTACTGAGACTCCAACTTACTGAGATTGTTTAGAATTTTGTTTCTATGTTCAAGAATATTAAAAGACAATTTCTCAGTTTTATGTCACCTGCAAAGTTCCTCAAACTCTTTGTACAAATCATTTATGTAAGTATTAAAAAGGACCAAATTCTACTGTACCTCACTTGATACCTTAGTCTCATTTGATGAGCAATCTTTGGAATACTGTTTTCAAGGAATCTATGGATCCACCTAGCAGACATGCCACCTAGCCCATATTTATCAGCTTGCTTATCAAAATGTCATGTGTATCTTGTCCAATGCTTTATTCTAGCCCTAACACTCCAGACTCTGCAGTTTTATTCCCACAGCATTCTTGGATCAGAGTAGAGACAAAGTAAAGCACTGATCAAAAATGACATTTTTTTCTAGTAACTAAATAACAAAATTAAGCTCACCTTGTCTCCAGGATGGGCAGGAAAGAGTTATTGTGACCAGCAGACTATGAACTCTATGTCAGGTTCAGCTGGCATGGCACAGCGAACGCCGCTGCTCAGTTTCACCTAGTCAGTTTCACCGCCCCAGGCGCTAGCAGCAGAAAGGGGAAGTTCAAACCGCGAACTAATTGCTGACAGGTGGTGGTGCTTAACTCCAACCGCAAGCAGATACATTGTATCACCGCCGGCTTCCCTTAAGTGCTACAGACAAAGGGAAGCGCAGCGGCTCGGAAGCGCAGCGATCAGTGCGCAATCAAGAATACCCAGCTTTACGCGCAACAGGAAAACCCAACAAAGACAACAACCACACAAACAATGGACAGCAATCAACAGGACAAAAGAACCGGACTGAATCTGCCATTTGGGAAAGGGGGGATTACTGCAGGTAATTGGTAACGAGGCAACAGGGTAAAGCGTGGGAATGGGGAACCTATAAAATACCATGTAAGCTATGCCAAGCCAACCCTGGCTTTGTCTGTACCTA